AAAAAAAAAAAAAAAAGGAAAAAAAAAAAAAAAAAAAAGGAAAAAAATCTGGGCAGCAACTGATTTTGGAATATATGTAGAAATGGGCATTTCTTTTTTTTTTTTTTTTTTGTCTTTTTGTCTTTTTTTCATGACCGGCAATGGATTGCAACCCTCAGTGTCGCGCCCGTACCGGACCGGGACCGGCAACGGGATCGCAACCCTCGGTGTCGCGCCCGCACCACGCTCAGCCAGTGAGCGGACCGGTCTCTATATGGGATCCAAACCCTCTGTGGGAGCAATGCCGCGTTCCCAAGCGCCACACTCAACCGAGTGCGCCACCGGGCCGGCCCTCCTTTTTAAAAAATTTTTGATAAAAATACATAACATAAAATTAACCATTTTAACCATGTCTACATGTACAGTTCAGTGGTATTAAGTACTTTCACGTTGTTATACAACCATCACCACCATACATTTCCAGAAACTTTTCATCTTCCCAAAGTAAAACGTCATACCCAGGGCCGGCCCGGTGGCACACTGCTACAGTGCGCCGCTTGGGAAGCGCGGCGGCGCTCCCGCCGAGGGTTCGGATCCCACATACAGACCGGCCGCTCACTGGCTGAGCAAGGTGCGGGCGCAACACCGAGGGTTGCGATCCCGTTGCCGGTCCCGGTCCGGTACGGGCGCGACACTGAGGGTTGCGATCCGTTGCCGGTCACGAAAAAAGACAAAAAGGAAAAAAAAAAAAGTCATACCCAGTAAACAATAACTTCCCCCTTCTCTCTCCCATGCTGCCCACATTTTTCATTCCTTTTGTCATGGGATGCAGAAGAATATTTGCTTATCTCTTGCCGTGTAAGAAGGGACCCCCAAATAGTGGCTTAAATAACAATTGTTTATTATTTTGCTCATGAATCTGGGGTTGACTGGGCTCAGCGACGAGTCCCCTTTCCGGTTTCTCAAGCAGTTGCAGTCAGACAGGGCTGGCGCAGAGTTATCTCAAAGGCTTCTTCACTCACACGTCTGGTGTCTGGGCTGAGAGGACCTGGACAGCTGGAGCTTCTCAGACAACTCTCTCTATGTGGTCTTTCCACATGGTCTCTCAACAGGGTGGACCCAGGGTCACCAGACTTCTAACATAGCAACTGATGAGCATCCCAAGAGAAACTGCAAAACCTGCCCGGCCTTTTCTAACCTACCCTGGGAAGTCATTCAGCATCCCTTGCATCATGAAGGCCTGCCCAGGTTCAAGAGAAGGGGACCTAATCCCTCTTTTGATGGAGGGGTGTCAAAGAATTTGTGGTCATGTTTTAAACCACCTTGTCCTGACCCAGCAATCCTGGAGCAACGTGACACTTTAGAAGATGTCTACGAATGATATAGAAAAATACTCAAAGGGTTCAAGCGGGAAACCCAACACAAGATGCACCCTCAGATGACCTAGGAAGGGGTAGTATCAAAGCCAGTCTGTAAAGCGACCTGGGACCTGGGGGTTTTGCAGCAGAGTGGACCCAGGTCAGGACCGAGGATGAAGAGCCAGCTCTCCGATTTGACTCCATGTGGCAAAGACCAGGAACAGCAGGAATGGGATAACCTGACTCCAGGGTTCCCCCAGTGTAGAGGTCTGTCTCAGGGCTCCTAACTGCAGACAACAGAAGCCAATCTGATTTAATGAAAAAATAAAATTACTTAAAGATATACAGTTTCCAGAATTTCCAGGAAAGCCAGAGAATTGGAGTCTATGTATCCGGAAATAATGCTCAAAGACCATCATAGGACTTCTCCATTAGAGACTCAAATTGCCACTAGATGGGGCCCCAGTGTCCATGTACAGCCTGCATTGCAGAGGTTGGACACTGGACGCTGCTGCTAGACCCTCTGCCAATGCTACTTCTGTGAGTCAGCACAGCCTCCCCTAAAGGTGTCCAGGGAACAGAACTCACTGGGTATGGAGCTTTGCCATCATCTTATACTTAATCCTCTCCTCAGAACTCACCATCTTACAAGAGAGACAGGAAAATAAATTATGAAGCTATACCTTGCCAGGTACAATGGTAAGGAAAACTCAAGGATGATCTGAAAATCAGTCTGAAGTGTCTGAGTTTCCCCAAAGGTGAGGTTAATATGAATTACGGAAGAACTTTCCAGACAGATGCAAATGCACAGGCTCTGCAGCTTGAGCAATATATATGCCCATTTTTGTGTTTCTATAACAGAATACCTGGGACAGGGTAATTTATAGAGAAAAGAGGTTTATTTGGCTCACAATTTTGGAAAAGCTGCATCTGGCATGTGCCTCAGGCTACTTCTACCTATGGCAGAAAGAGGCTGGGCAGCCAGTGGGAGCAAGGAGATCACATGGAGTGCGTGCACGGGGGAGAGAGAGAGAGAGAGAGAACACGCATGTGGAGAGAGTGTGCGTGCACATACCAGGCTTCTTTTAACAACCCACTCTCTGAGAACTAATAGAGCTAGAACTCACCTCCCCATCCCCAGAATACCCCCATGACCCAAATACCTCCCAACACTGCCACATTGGGGATCAGATTTCATAATGAGCTTTGGGGGGACAAACATATGAAGGAGCCAACTACACAAGAGAATGGAGATCAGTTCATTGTGACTGGAGCTCAGGATGCAGCTGAGGAACTGGAGGGAGAAAAGGCCAGACCAGGATGGGCCTCATGCCAAAGAGTTAGGACCACTGAAGGATTCTGGAAAGTTCAAGCTGGAGGCAGTGAGGAAGATGTAATTTTAAAGGAGTAAGACAAAATAGGGAAGACAGTTAACCATCTCTAGGGTAATTCAAACAAAAATGATGGAAGAAACTAAACCAGGGACAAAGAGGATAGTGCTGATTCTATATACGTTAAGGAGTGAAATAGATGACAGAATACTAGGGAGAGGGATTTTAGTCCAGGATAATTCCCAGACTCTTGACTGATGAGGTAATTGGTATTGCCACTGATTGCAGAAATAAAAGGAATAGAGGACTAGAAGCAAGTTTAATCAGTTGGGGATATTTTGAAATTGTGGTGCCTGTGGAAGCTCAGTGAAGATGTACAATATGCAATAGGAAATGCAAAGCTGGAAATCAACCAGAGGTTTGGAAGTAGCCAGGAACCCTATCTAGAGAAACCAGACACCTTAATTTGTCTTGATGGTCTAAAACCTGCCATCTCACGTAAGCCG